AAACACAGATAAACTGTTTGTCACAAGCAATGTATTTGCAAATAAAACATTATGTAAATAATATTATGGCACATGCAACTCCTCTTTTAAATGTGTGAGAAGCTGATTTCATACAGCAACACAAAAACTTAATTTGAAGTGGTGAGTCATACATCTTTTAATCTTTTAAAGTATATATATGTATATATAAATGTATATATATATATAAACAAAATTATAGTTAACTTTCTTTTTAAGTTAATTACTTAAATTATTTTTCATACTGTGTGACAGTGCGGTTTGACCCCTTTTTCTTTTAATACTGACTCATTGGTATTTATGCTTTCACACAAAGCCTCCAATAGTAGTAAGCAGCTCTGGGCATCTTACCTGCACCCCAATACGTTAACTCAGTTTTCTCATGACTCCAATAAATAAGATGACCCCTCAGAACCCTTCCACCTTTGGAATAAAACATGGTAGATGGGCCAGCAGGTGGCATGGAAGTTAAGATGCTGGATCTCACATGGATGGCTGTGCGATTCGAGTTGCAGATCTGGCAACTTGAAGATTTCACTGGGTGTGTGTGCATGGGTGTCCAAACTCCCAAGAGGAGACTGGTGAAGAAGGGATTGCAGCGTGGCCATCTACCTGTGGGGGGTGATTTCTCACTTTCCTTCTCTGATGAGTGAGCATACATGCCATATAGCAAAAAACAACAATAAGAAATACCTAAAAAATTTTAAAAAGTGGGAGCAGCAGGCGGCGTGGTGGTTAAAGTGCTAGACTCCGACATGGTGAACCGTGGTTCCAGTGCTGAACCCAGCCAGCTTGAAAAATCACGTTGGGTAAGTGTGTGTGGATGCCCAAAATCCAGAGAGGAGAATGGAGGATAAGGGATTGTGATGTGGTCATCCTCCCTGGTGGGGAGGGGATGATTTCTCAATCTCAATCTCCCTCTCTCTGTCTTTCTGTCTCTTTCTAGAGACAGCTATTTGCCTTACCACAAGTCCTAAAATACAAACAAACAAACAAAATACATGATAGATGACTATGTTAAGAGGTTTTTATTTTAGAATACATTATCCCTTTGAATCCACATTAGAACACCGCAGGACAATTATCACTTCCATTATTTCTGTGAGGAAATTTAGTTCAGGGAGATTAAATTATTTGCCTGAAATCTAAAAGGTGCTGAAGGTGTGATTAAACCTAAGGGTCTAAATTATAGTCTGTATTCTTTTTTACACCTCTTGTGTTAAAATGTTTTTGTTAAAGTGTATTTTTAAAAAAATACACTATGAGGCATCTCAATTCTAAAATAGATAAAGTATCACTCACTAGTACACATTTACTTTCATAAATCCAAAATGAAAATATTTACTTATGGGGTTAATAAATAATGAGGCAACTCAGATAAACATGAAAATTTTAAATTAAAGGTATGGACAAGTTTCTGCCTTTTAATGACCTCCATTTTGAATTTATTTCTATACTGTGTATATGAGAGAATAGGAAATCTCTTATTTATAAAATAAGTCATTGTATATGGCAACAGTTCTTTTTAAACCACATACCTTAAAACCATTAGATGCCCTTCCATTAAACTGATCCAGGGACATGAAAAACGATAAGAAGTATTTTGTTTCTACGATGATCACTTAGAGTATTCAACATCTACTCACAATCCTCATAAGGACTATCTCAGACTGAGTGCGATATACACCTCCACATGATTTCAGTAATATTATAATGACATTACCTGCATGTTTTCAATGACTTTTCCTCAGGTCAGAGCACAGCTGAGATAGTTGACCAGCTCCTCACCTCATATTAGCTAAGTTGTAACAAATAATTCAAGGAAGTATGGTTTGGTACCACTTAACTAATGTGAGCATCTGGGCTATTGTGAAGAGTGTTGATATACTCTTTTTTTTGTTTGTTTTTTAAGTGGAAAATGGTTATACCATATAGGTTTTAACTGGCTTGCCACTGGGAATAAATAAGTGCTCAAATAAATGTTATTTTGAGTTTACCTAGTTAGAGTTTATTTTCATTTGCCAAATATTTTTATGATACCACTGTGTTATACTTTTTTTCAAATCATCTTTTCCTGAGTATATGCCACTTAGAGGGCATCTGTGTGTCTTTTCCTTGGCTTGTCCTGTTTTTCTTATGACTTATACTTTACTTTCTCAAGGTGAACATAATTTCTAGTACTGTACTTTGTGATTTTTCATCTCTTTCTTCATACTCTTATTAGACCTATGTTTGCGCTCCCTCGCTTCTTCAACTTTTGATGTATTTCAACCTTTTTAAATGAAGAGTCATTGAGGACTTCTCCTGTACAGAACACAGATTTCTCATTATTCAATGAGAAAAGCCTTCTGACAGTAATTTCTCAAACACATAGAATTAAAATTAATTATGGTACATTCCTTGAAAAAAATGGTCAAAGGGATTGGAAGGTCAGGCTGAAATTATATTCTCTCAGACTGATAAAGTGTTTTCATTAAGAGGGTCCTTCGTTTCCACTCTTTGTCTTTCCTGTTTCTCACTGCTTCCCTGCTGATTCTTGCACTTTTCTTAATATCAATGTCTTATCAAGAATACAGCAGTCCTAAAGACAAAAATTAGATTGGTCGTATCAAAGACTTTAATACCTTCTTGATCTGTAAGATAGAATATAGCTACTAAGATTTATTTAAAATCAATTTGCCTGACTATGGAGAGAATTTGTGGGATGGAGGACATGGACAGTAAAGAGCAAGTGGAAACATATTTAATAACAATGATAAAATATCCAGGTATAATTATAGCCTATTACTATATTGTATTTCAAAACATTCTTTATCTTCTATTATCAGAAAATACAGACAAAATTTTGAAATTACAGAGCTCAAAATTCAAGAGCATGAATACTTGAATGCCAGATCTAGATAATAAGAAAGAATTTAAAGATGTGAAATGTTTCTGAAACCAAAATGAAAACTTTAGAGCTATGATATCAATGTTTATTATATGTATATATATATATATTTTTTTTTTTTTAAGAGATTTTTGCTTTAGTACTCACCAGAGAGACAGTGGACATAAATCAAAATCACCCCCTGATGGGTGTGGCTACAGTGTAATCCCTTCTCTTCCATTCTCCTCTTGAGATTTTGGGCATGCACACACACAAGCCTGGTGTGAGTTTTAAGCCACTGGATTCAGGACTCAAACTGGGGTAGACTACATGGGAGTCCAGCAACATAACAGCTGGTCCCTGTTTTATATGTAAAACTATAAAATGAAGTATTAATTGACTTTCAATATATAAAATAAACTTCTCATAGATGGTATCTTTTTTTCTGCACAGTAATTTTTTAAAATTTCTGGTAGACCACATATGTCTTAATATCAAGAATGTTACCAAAACCATAGGGGATATGTGCTTGCTAGAGAGAGACAAAGAGAGTCAGAGAGGAAGTGAGAAACCACCACCCAGGGGCAATGGCCACGCTGAAATCCCTTCTCCTCCATTCTCGTCTCAAGATGTTGGGAATGCACACATACGAACTCCATGTGATTTTTTTTTTTTTTTTTTTGCCATAGGGCGCGTGCACTAGCCAGAAAGATAAGAGAGAGACAGAGAGATAGAAAGCAAGAAATCACCCCCCAGGGGGGATGCCCATGCCGCAATCCCTTCTCCTCCATTCTCCTCTTGGGATCTTGGGCATGCATGCACACGTGCCTGGCGTGAGTTTAAGCCATTGGGTCCGGGACTCGAACCATAGTTGACTACGTGGGAGTCCAGCGACATAGCCATTACGCTAACTGCTGGTCCCTCCATGTGATTTTCAAACCACTGAATCCAGGGTTCAAACCAGTCAGCCATATGGTAGTCTAGTGCCTTAACCACCATGCCACCTGCTGGCCCCACTAAAACCATTTTTAAAGGAAGTATTGCTATTAGTGTGATCCATATAGCAATTTGTAATGGGAACACAACTTAAAGTTTATTAAGGAGACAAACTTAATTTTCTAAATTTCAGTTATATGATATCAATATCATGAACCAACTTCAAGAAACACACAACATTTAACTTGTGGCTCTATAATTACTCCTGGTCTAGTCATACTTCCTGGGCTATGGAATTAATATAGACTTAAAACATTATCATTTCCTTTATATATGTATATTCCTTATTATACACACACACACACACACACACACACACACACACACATATATATATAATTTAAATCCTTATCTAAAATGGAAGATTTCCCACAACTTTGATCTTCCACAAACAATGCTCAAAGATTTCAAAAATTCTCAAAACTTAAAAAAAAATTGAAACATATATCACATGCAAAGGAAAGATATAAATCCATTTTTAACCTTATAAATGGATAGTTAAATTACTATGCAGTTGTTAACATCGGTTACTACACTACTCCTCATCAGCAAGGACAAAATGTGTTATTTGATTGATAATGTGTATATCATTGGAGAATTAAAAACCAAACACACTCATATAATGCCTAGAATAAAGAGCACATAATTGCAACAAGATGGAAATATATACATATCAACTTAATTGTATAGCCTAGACAATATGAGGTTATTTATTAAATTATTATAATACTAAAATATTCCGTTACAAATATTGCAAGTTCATTTTTGCCAATTTTTTTTTCTTCTCTGCTCTAGTTATTTTGTCTTCAGAAAACCCGATTTGCTTACCTCAAAGGCTGATTCCAAGGGATTTTGATTGATTCTGGAGCAAACCTGTATAATCTGTATTAGTACACATTATCTACTCTATTATTACTGTTCTTTAAATATATAATTCACTAGTATAACTCACTTCTGATATAAAATACGACATAATGTAACATTTTGTAATATTAAAAACAGAAACGTACATAGGAAGACATACCTACCCCCCAAAAAAATAGTGGAAACACAATAGTTTCAGAACAAGTCTTAACCTTGCTGCCTTTGTCACAAATGTTAAACAAAAATATCCTACCTGTTGAATCAAACTTCACTTCATTGGCAGGACTTGGACCTACATCGATGGACACAATTGGTAACAGCTTCCGAAAGTCCCATAGTTTTATAACTCCACAGGCATCACAAGATGCTATCATGTGACCCTTCAAAATATAATATAGAAAATAAATGAATATACATATACATTACATATTGCATATATATAGCAACCCACAGACAAAAAATAAGATTTGTGTTATAGTTTCATTGAATCCATAGGAATACACTCCACTAAACTAATGAGTATTCATTAGATCTTTATCTTGAATATAAAATTATTGTAAAAAATTATGTTGTTGTGCCAGCAGATGGTGTAGTGGTTATGTTGCTAGACTCTCACATGGTCGATTATAGTTCAGATCCTGGACCCAGTGGTTTGAAAATCATACCAGTTTCATGCATTTTGTGTGCTTGTGTGTGTCGAAGATCCCAGGAGGAGAATGGAAGAGAAGGGATTGCAGCATGGCCATCCCACTGGGAGGTGATATTTCACTTTCCCTCTCATTGTCACTGTCTCTCTCTACAACAAGTGCATATGCCCTATGGCAAAAATCGCTTTAAAAAATTATATTCTTAATATATAAAATCTTAAGTTAATTTTGGAAGTTTTTTTAAGAAAGTATTTTCATTATATGAGATGTAATAAAAATGTAGGTATTAATGTAATTTTCTATGTGAACATACAAACGTCACACATCATGCAGATGATACATGTTACATGTAAAAAAATTTTCGGTACAAATACTTGGGGCTGTTTCATTAAGAGCAATGGGACAAAGAAGAAGGTAACTGGAATGGCAAACAGAAAGAAGGATGGATTCAAGTGTCATGGAAACAGGAAGACATTTGCCCAGTACAGGTGGAGCAGCCCAGTCTCAACAGTTTGGAGCTGAAGGTCCATCTACACATCTGCTGGCCACTCCGGGGTTGTTCATTGAGCGTGTCCGGAGCTGGGTACATACTGGTGCATAATATGAGTTTCTGTCCTCCAACAATTTGTAATCCTTGTCCATTCTCATCCACCCATCATTTGATTTCTTTGTCCGCTCACAAATTAAATGAGTATTGACCACATGAAAGTCATCAATGTTCTTTATAAGTCAATAGTGTTTCCAATTTAATATAGGTTTCTCTTTCAGCGCCAGTCTAATTTTTTGAATATCAGATCAAAAAACATACTTATTTTTTTCCCTGAAATTTCTAATATGTTAGAGGAAATTACAGTATTATCTTGGATTTTTCTTTCTTATCAATTTGAAGTAGTTCATTTATTTTTTCTTGTTTACTCCTTTGATTCCTACCCATTCTGTAAAATTAAAAAAAAAAATTATCCTGAATTGCATTCAAGTGAACTCTGATTTTCTCAAAACATACCAGTAATGTAACGAATGCCATTAGTTTTAAAATTCTATAGCTGTTGTCACTGGCCAAGTAATACAACAACCTTGTCCCCAATCTAATAAATGAGATGCTTAATCTTTTTTACGACTTAAAAGGAACATAGAGAACTTGGAATGCTCTCAAATACGTAAACATGTATTGGTAGAATTGTGAGGAATCAGTGAATTTCTCTTCAGAAAAGAAAGGAACAATTCTCAGTATTAGCAGGGAATATTAATGTTAAAAATTGGGAAGAACTCTTTTCAAACATAAGAGCATTTAATCATTTTTTCAGAAGTCACCAAATGAAATATTTTCTCAATTTTGAAAACAGAATAGATGAGTTTTAATCAAAATTTAATTTGGTTACATCTTTCATCAAAGGCAGGTTATGGACTGGATAAACTTTTCTTGCCTGAAGTTTATGAATTAAAGATGATACATACATTTTTTAAAAAAATTGCCAGAGGGGAATGTGTGCTTGCTAGAGAGAGAAACAGAGAGAGAAGAGAAAGTGAGAGAGAAAGTGAGAAAGCAACCCTCATGGGGGATCGCCCCATTGCCATCCCTTCTCCATGTTTCCTTTTGGGATTTAACAAGCACACACATGTGCCCAGAATTTTTTCAAATCACTGAGTCTGATATTCAAACTGCACAGTTGGTCACATGAGCTCCAATTGCCTTAACCACCCCACCACTGGCTGCCCCTAAAAAAAATTTGAAAGTATACTTTATCTCAATGAATATTAAAGTTAGAGAGAATACTGTAAAAAATAAAAAAAAAGTCTTGTCTTCTTTTTATTGGGGGAAATGGAATAGTTTTAACAGCTTCACATTTAATACTTGTAACTTTGTTGTCAAATGATTAATATTTAATAGTTTAATAATATTCAAATGAGTCAATTTTTATTAAACACTTTTAATGAGCCAGATACTGTGCTAAATGCTTCACTAATAAAAACAATCGCAAAAACTATTTTAAATGATATTCAAAAAACTAACTTTTAGTCATATTTTTCCTTTGTCTTAAGAACTTACAAGTCATGACAATGTATGCATTATTGTATAATGAATATAATAACTTATGTGATAGAAAGGAATTTGTGTTTAGATTAGACAAGCGAAAGATACTTGGTAATAAAAACAACATAGTTATCTACAGGTTAGCAAGTGAAACAGATGCAGTGCCTAGCTCAGTGTTTGGAGCATAACAGAACTCAACAATATGTTTTTAAAACCAAACTGAACCTGCGGAGCTGGGAGCCAGACAATTAACTACAGGCTCAAGATTTCCAGATCAGTCTCAAATGATCTTGGGTACGCATGTGCATCCCCCAAATCCTTTGAGCTAGAGGACCAAGAAGAGGGATTGTGGCATGATGGGACCTTGTCGGGGGTGCTTTTCTTTCTCCCTCACTCTTTCTCTCTTCCATGCTCATGTATATATTATCTATCATGAATAAAATGCATTAACATTAAAAATTATAATTTGAATCAATAAATGAGTAATGCCTCCTTGAAACTTCCCTAAAAGTTTTTATTTTAGTTCCAGTAGAAGTGTTGGGGGTAAATATTAATTCTAACCCTGATGGCTCTACATCACTTATAGAAATAAAATAATAGAAGGTACAGAGACTCCAGAAATAAAACTTGGAGTATCCTCAAAGCATTCTATCCCTCCCCGTCCCATCTCAGGAGAACTGGAGAGCTATCTGCCACTCTCCTTTCTTAACACAGAGGAAACCAGAACAGTGCTCATCTGAACTGTGTATTCCACATTTTGAGCGACTTGGAGATGGAAAGAAGTGGCAAAGGGACTAGTTAATGACCTGGGAAGGGAGGAACTTATGACAGGCAGGAAAACAACGGCTAGCTATAGTTAGGCACTTAACCTAAACTAAGAAAGATGTCAAAGAAAAAAAACCATGTTTTTAAAGACAGGTAGTATTATGGGACAACCTTAAAGAGTTAAGACCAGAGTTTTGGAAGTAATTCTGTTTATGGCAAGGTATGATCCTGACGAGGGGAAAGTACTGAAGCTAACTACATTAGGGAGCGCTCAAGGAAGTTCATGTTGAGATCTGTGGCGAATTTTCTAACACTCAATCTCTAGCACCCAGCGTAGTTCCTATAGAAGTTAGGCATTTGATCTCTGCATAAATAATTGAGTGAATAAATATAAGGAAAATGAAGAGTAATCAGTGTTGACTTATGTGATTTAAAGTCATTTAAAAACATAGAAATATTAATGAGATTAAGCTCATTTAATAGTGGACAGATATGGTTTTTATTTTTATTTATTTTATTTGAGATTTTTGTTATAGGGCATATGTGCTTGCCACAGAGATAAAAAACAAGAAATCACCCTCCAAGGGTAGTGGCCATGCTGCAATCTCTTCTCTTCCATTCTCCTCTGGGAGATTTTTTTGGGCATACACGCACACTCATCCAGTGTGAGTTTTAAGCCTCCAGGTTCGGGACTTGAATCACCCTCAGCCACATGGGAGTCCAGCACTTTAACTTCTGTGTCATCTGCTGGTGCTGGATATGCTTTTCAGATAGACTCAAATGAGCTAAACCAAATAGAATTTTGAAAAATGGACAAAGAATACATTTGAGATGGAAATGAAGACTCAGCCTTCCTGATTGCCTCTGTCAAGTCACCCACTACCAATTTTAAGATTCTATAATGAGAAAATCTATTGAGACATGAAGTTCTATAAAAATTAGAGAAGAACATAAGATCAAACTAGCTTTAGCTAGGCTGCTGACATACAGTGGAAAACATCTTGCAATACGTCTCAAACATCACAAAAGGATTCATACTTTTGAAACTGAATATTACTTCTAAAACTGATTACAAATTAAAGAAAAATGTATGATCACAAAAGGTTAATATGGCACTAGTTACGGATACAAATGGAAGAAAGTGACATTGATATTAATAATCAAATATGGAAAAAATAAGCTGTGTGCTGCTGTCAATGCAGAAAACTGCCAGAAGCACCTTTTATGCAAACCGGATACCAATAGCTGCCGCGAGACTAGTGCACTGAGCTGCTATCTCTCTGCACAGAGGTTCCAGGCATATTTAGATGTTGTAAAACAAAGTCAGAAAAAGAGTAAACTGGGTGCTAATGAGGTCATTTGTATTTGAAGACTATCTTCATAAACCAATTGTATTCCTTAGTAGAAACATATCTCATGGCTTTATATAATTTTTTAAAACAGATTTTACAAGTTTGGGCATTTATGTACATTTTGGGGATAAGGCTATTTCAGGAAGAAATAGAGAAGGCAGCAATTCATTACGAACAACACAGGTCCAGTCTGATTATACTTGGGACCTGCGTCCCAGTGAGTCAGCCGAGTAGTGGTTTAACTCACTAGGTTATCTAAATATATATTAAGGCTTATTTATTTTATTTCTTTGATGATAGAGAGAGAAAAGCATCCTCAACAGGGTGTGTCACAGTACTGTCCCTTCCCCCAGCCCTTCAGCTAGTTGGGATTTCGGGCACACGTGCACCTAGCATTATTCAGGTCAACTCATGATCTGAACGTGAGGTCACCGTTCACATCCGAACAGATCAGTGCACGATTGCCTACGCCACCGAAGCTAGACCAGTTTTTCATACTTTTCTTTTTGTTCCATCTTCTTTTGGAGACTAAATTTACAGAATGACAACTAAGTAAATAGAATATTTTTAGGTCCATGAGATTG